CTAAAATGCCACCATTGATGTAGTAAAAATATACATACTATAGGCAACACTTCATGATATTGTAGACCATTAGGGAATACGTGCTTTTACTTTTAATACTTTAAGTATTCTTAAAAGCAAATACTTACTTACTTTTACTCAAGTAAAATGTTAATGTGGTACTTTTACTTTTACTAGAGTACATGTTTGTCTGTTTATCTGTACTTTTACTTAAGTACAGTGTTTGAGTACTTTCTCCACCACTGGTTAGACTGGAGGATGTTCTGGTTCTGTTTAAGTATAATTGTTGGTGCTGAATGCACCTGGACTCCTAATGTAGAACAAAAAAAATCAATCAAAAATGAAATAAAATAAAACTACAACTGGACCTTCAAAGGTAAAGTGGGCGGTTTGTCGACTGACTGACGTCTTGCATCGTATTCTCTCAAGAACCAGACAGGATGARTTTTCTCAACAGGAAGAGGTAATTGCTAAAGTAGTTTTCACAACCAGCTGACAAATAACGATCTGTTTAGCTTTCAACCACAATATAATAATATATTTTACCAGTATTTTAATTTAATTTATTTTATGACAGATAAAACAGGCAGGCCTGTATGGATTAGAAGATAAATGTTTGTTGAAGTGATTATCACTTTGCTTTCTTCTAAATAAAATACACTGCAGGCAGCAATCTTACTTTMAAAATAAAACTAGAAGACACCCAAWGMYAAATTTCACTGAAATGTTGTTTTATTGAAACAACACATCATGCAATTATCCTGGGATATTTTTTTCCCCAACGTATATTTAATATGAAGCTATWTRAAAACAGGATTTATACAATAAATAKRAATAAAAATGTRATGAATTARGTAATAAAACGTCTCAGAAGGGGTGGTCTCAGTAACGTCACAGCAGGGGGAGGATTAGGGGGCTGCTGTACGTTCTCTGGTCTGAAACAGATCAAACTTGTAGGGATTGTTTGGAGGAGACATCTGTGGGTGAGAAACTAACATTATTTTCTTCCTCTTATTCTCTCTGAAACKTTCTCTAAAACTCAAACAAAATTTCTGTTCAGTTAAAAATAAAACTCTTAATGAATAAACTTAAACCCAACAAAAACTYGTGACGTCAAAGTAACTTCATCACCAGAAACACTTTTTTTAATATTTTATGATTGCTTTTCAATAAAATAAATTTCCATTCATGTATAAAGGATGCTCTCATTGAATAACTTTTAAATTCAACAAAATTATTTTCATTTATTTAAAACAAATACTGTTGTTGAACAGAGTAAGTACAAATACTTTGTTACATTACTTAAGTAGAAATTTTGGTTATTGATACTTTGGTGGAGTCGTTGTTTTTCAGCCTATTTTTACTTCTACTCCTTATATTTGAATTCAATTAGCTCTACTCGTTTTTTTGAAAATGCAAAAAGTATTTAATTTCTATTTAACTTTGACTTGTTTTTATTTCCATTTTTTCTTTGTTCAGAAAAAATTAATAGAACTTTATCCAGATACATGAAGCCCATGGTAACTTTTAAGTTTTCATTACTTTTACTTTTATACTTTAAGTAGTCTTAAAACCATAACTTGTATTTTTACTTGAGTAAAAACCTTGAGTTGATACTTCTACTTCCAAAAAAAAGTATTTTTAAACCTTAGTATCTATACTTCTACTTAAGTAATGAATATGAATACTGTTGACAACTGTCTTGTTAAATAAACTTTAAATTCAACAAAACTCATGACGTCTGCTTATAAAAGTAACTTACAGTAATCACCAGAACACTGTTACTGTACTAATATTTTATGATTGCTTTTCAATAAAATAAATTTCCATTCTTTTAAAAAGATGCTCTTGTTGAATAAACTGAAATCCAACAAAATGTCTGGATCTAAAACTAGTAGAAACACTAGAATTACTATTTTATAAAAATGTTTAAAGAGAAATCCTGTTTGCCTTATAAGGAGATACCCCAGAAGAAATCCCTCCCCCTTCCTGATATGTCCAGACATCTGCTCSTGTCCTCACAGTCCCATAGTCATCAAAAAGGGGCGTGTCCACCTGTCAAAACATTTTGACGAAAGGGTGGTRTTATAGTTTTTCATTAAAATATATATTTTTTGGCTGTAAAAAAACAGTTTTTTGTGGACTTGGAGTCTATAGGAAGCAGAAAAGTTGATTTTAGTCTCTCTTGGTGCTGCGTAGATATCTTGATATTCTGTATGGGTCATATTTTTCAGTTTTCTTTAATTTCTATAACATTTTCTGAACTGTTTTGTCAAATTATTTACCACAGAATTTCTAAATAAGGTCTGGACTTACCAACTAACATTTAGTGGTCTTTACTGTCCTCTGGTTCTGGGTCAGACTCAGGGTCCAACATGTAAGGCTGGATGGACAAGTCTTCTCTTGTTCACATCTTTTAATGCATTTGTAAATAAAAAGTTTCTGCGCAGCTACATAGCCGTAAACCCCCTCTGTCAAACCAGAATGGACCACTCTGAAAGAGTCTCTTTGGATTTGAAGAGACAGCCTCAAAACTAGTTGTCGAAATTTGTCCGAAGTTTTTGACGAAAGCGTGTCCATTTTGTCCCAATTTTAGTGGAAGGAGCCGTAAAATCGTCTCAGAACAAAAACAACTCTTGAGATTTTCTTGCAGTGCACCGCGGAGGAAGGCTTAAGGTTTAGATGAAAGTCATAAAAGTTCTGATAAGGATCAAACTGAAACCRCAAAACTTTGATACAAAGACTTGATTTTTTTTTTTTAGACTCGTGACTCAAACAAATGAAGCAGCAGAAAACTGATTTGATCAACAGACCGGTGTGGAAATGTGTCTGTTAGCAGGAGGTTTGAGACCCAGAGGTCAGCTAAGTCGAGTCAGCTCCAAAAGTTACAATAAAATCTGTCTGTCCATGAGATATTGTGGTAAAATTACACCATTTCGACAAAAATCCCTATAAACAGACATCTTAGAATTTGTGACCCATCACATCGAAACGAGGATAAAGTTGTGGAGAAATAGGCAGATAGTGTTTTTATTAAAACGCTTGTATAAACTAAATTTTGTCAAAATATAACAAAAAAGTGTGTTATCAATGCATCATTTCAATGAACTATCTTAAATATTATCTGGAAAAAAAAATTGAAGCACTTTTTTGAGCATTAGTAACCAAAAATCAGATTTTGAGGAAAAACGCCTTAAAATGTTGAGCTTTTCCCTGTGAGCCATCAACGCTTTGGTTTTTTCCAGCTGAGAAATCTCAATATTCAAATATTCTTTTTTCAAATGACATGAAAAAAATCCTCATTAAAATTACATAAAATTAGGATTTAGACCAAATATTTATGTATTATTGTAAAGGAATAACYGTGTACAGAAAACGGATGGATGGATGTAACCAGCAAGACCAATTAAATAATATCTCTGGATCTACTAATAATATCAGGATGATAAAATGTAGCTTTTGAAGGCACAGTGTGTAGGATTTTGTCAATTCTTTTAGCCGAAATTGGGATAATCACTAATGACAATAATAAAAAAC